TTTGCGCGGCCACTTGTGGTGCCACAGAGTGGCTAGTGTACTCGGGGCCTTACTCGCCATTCTCCTCCCCCCTTTCCCTTCTCACTCCCTATCTATACATCTCTCTCTCTCTCTCTCTCTCTCTTATTCTTCATCTCTCCATTTCTCCCTCTCCTCCTCTCCCTTTCCTTCCTTCCCTCATTTACTATCTCTCTCTTTCATCCTCCTCCTTCACCCTCCCCTCTCTCTCTCCATCTTTCTATTTCTCCCTCTCCCCCTCTCCCTTTCCTTCCTTCCCTCATTAACCACCCTAATCCTTTCTCTCTCTCTCTCTCTCTCTATCTCGTCATACCTCTCTCTCTCTCTCTCTCGTCATACCTCTCTCTCTCTCTCTCTGTCTCTCTCTCTCTCTCATCCTCCTCCCTCACCCTCTCTCTCTATATATATGTCTCTCTCTCTCTCTCTCTCGTCATACCTCTCTCTCTCTATCTCTCGTCATACCTCTCTCTCTCTCTCTCTCGTCATACCTCTCTCTCTCTCTCTCTCTCTCGTCATACCTCTCTCTCTCTCTCTCTCGTCATACCTCTCTCTCTCTCTCTCTCTCGTCATACCTCTCTCTCTCTCTCTCTCTCATTCTCGTTCTACCTCTCTCTCTCTCTCTCATTCTCGTTCTACCTCTCTCTCTCTCTCTCTCTCATTTTCGTTCTCTCTCTCTCTCTCTCTCTCTCTCTCTCTCGCCATACCTCCCTCCTGTCTCTCTCACCATACCTTTTTTTAAACTTTATTTTAGTTCAGTACATTGTAACTAACAATCGTAGGTCGACTTGCTGCTAAAACGTTTAATGATGAAGCTAAAGCCATCTTTAGGATGACTCGTAGAGAGTTATAAAAGTAGAAATAAAAAAGACTAATACCGAAGGTAGCTTGTCGCAGTAAAAAGTTATCCGCAATCATACTGCAGCCTTCACAAATGCACTGTTGAACTGAACTGTTGGATGGAGGTTAAGAGATGCTAGTTCGTCTCTCGCACCAACCGATTCCACATTCTGGATTACCTCGGCAGGAATGCACGTAGAAAACTCTCAGTCCTCGCAAAAGCAAGGTGAAGTTCGTGACTTCCTGGTGTTCTGCTGGTTTACCTTATAGAACACGCACAACGCCGCCACGTCCCTGTGGTGCTGGAGAGACTGAAAGTAGAGCGAGCGATCATTTTCCCGCATCTTGAATTCCACAAGCCGATGGGTTTGATTTTGTACTCTGTCTAGTAGTCGAGTAGGGCCAAGTAGGGTGGGTGCTGTTAAGGTGAAAGATTCGGCGTACGCATGTCAGGTTATGAGTTGCTCTTTTGGCCAGACCCTTAACGTGAATGTCATTTGATTATCAAACTGCGCCCCAAGGATGCTAATTTCTCCTGGCAGATCAAGTGTTTTCCCATCAATGCTAATGGATGGGGTTAGTAGATTCTGTCGACGGAATATAAATATGACCTGCTTTTTATCTGGTGCAATTGTAACCTTCCATCGTCGGGTGAATGAGGTGATAAGAGATAACACATCATGAATATGTTCACCAGTGGCAGTGCATTCATGCTTTTCACATTTAGAGGATAACGTGCAGTCGTCAGCATATGCATGGGCTTCTGAAATCAAATGTAGAATGTCTTTGAACTAGAGGTTCCACAAGAGCAGGCCAATGCTGCTGCCCCGGACATACTTGCACTGATTGGTTATTCACCTGAAGTGTAACCGTTTACCACAACTTGAAGAGTTCTCCCTCATACATAATCTTCAATCAGCTTCAGCAGGTCACCATGCATGCCAATTTATTTTAATTTGAAACAAAAATGCCTATGTACCATACTCTCTCAAATGCAATATCCAGGTCTATGACGTAAGTTTCTTTGCTAGCAACAAGAGATTTGTTGCAATCGGTGACTAATAGAAGCAGGTCGGAAATTTTTTGTACATTTTGCCCATAATCGAGAGTATTGATACGGGCCTGTAGTTTTCTAGGGGTGTTTGACTTTTCTTTTTATGTACTGCCACAACTCTAGCCTGTTTCCAGATAGCTGGCTACTTTTGCTGTTGAAAGCAGTTTTGATACAATATGTTGGAACTTACATTGTCAGATTCAAAGACTTTATTTTTGTTTAAGTTCCTCAACACAGATATTGAATGTGTGGAGTCCCACACACTGTGAAAATCATGCTAGTAGCCCTTGTTCCAGCTCTAGATGGTTCTTGTCAGTGCCTCCTCACGAATGACCTTCAGGTTAATCATGCTAAATATGGCATAATGATCTGAAGGGCCCATTGTTCCTTTACTACGTTAGCTAACTGTTCCTTCGGGAAGATCGTAAATGACAGGGTCCAATCAGGAGCCTGGCATATGGGTGGGAAAATCAACATGGTTATTAAGACCATGTATTGCCAACAGATCTTCAAAAGATCTAGAAACAAGATACTGGTTTATATCACCTACTATTAGGATGTTATTGCAGGTGCATTAATGTAATATCCCATCAATGTTGTTTTGTATTAACATGATGGGTTCTGCTCCTTGCCACTGGGCGCTATAAGAAACACATAATAAAAAAATACCACCAAAGGTGCAGCTAGTTCTATCCATTTGTAAAAAAAATTCTCTGAGAATGTTGAATCTAGAAGTCTCTACAGTGGCGATAATATTGGGGTTATTTGGTATGTTATAGCTATGGGTAAAGTTTTTAACTGTATGCCCCCTACGGTGACAGAAGTAATAGAATTTCTTTCTGTGTCAGAGGAGGAAGCCTCTGGGTGACTCCTAGTTTTATAGAACCGGCAGCTTAGAGGTCACATTCCACTCTGAGGCACTGCACCTCGATTAACGGGATTTGATTAAGTCTGTTATTCAATTGGTTTCCTGTGCTTGCTGAGGTTCATCTAGCGTTCAATAACGGCGCTTGTAAAAGATTGCTTTGCTACAGGCTAGACTATTCCATCCCTTTCTCACCCTCACCCCCCTCTCACTCGTCTTTCCTCTCTCTCTCTCTCTCTCCGACCTGCTGAAAGTTCCCACTCGACGTTCTTTCATCTGTCTGCTATGTTTTGTTTTAGATGCTCGCGGAAAATTAAAGAACTGAAAGGCCACAATGAGTTACGGTGCATTTGCACATAATGAAATCATGGGCTCTGGTATGAAGTAGTCTATGAAGCTATTTATAAAATAGTTTCATACTCTACTTCAGTAAATAAAAGGGGAATTTATTTTTTTTCCTTCGGATTGATGATATAGTGTTTGCCCAGATCAATAAGGAAACACTGAACTGTCAATTGAAATGATCTTGCACCACTTTGACAGTTTACCTCTTATTTCATAGCAAAGATTCAACTAAATAAGTGCCTTGGTTAGCCAAGTCCTCAGAGATGCCGAGTTCGAAGTCAGTGAAGAATACGTTACCGTTACCTCTCACACTAGTCAGCTTTTGGCAGGTTGCAGCTAGGAAGAGAATGCTTCTATGTATGCATGTTCCCAAAACATGCGAGCAGGCTACGAAGCGCTTGGTGCTTCATCTTTTTCCTTGGGGTAAGATGTATCTGTAATATTAGGAATACCTATTTTCTGACGCTTGTAGTAAAAAAAATGCTTTGAAATTACCCGATTTTATATCTACCTTTTTATAGAGGGATAGTCATCCAATATCTGTAATGATAATACGTACCGGGGACTTTTATTTTCGGTGTGCGACAAGTCATGGGAATCTTAACAGTTGTAAAGAAAAGGCTTTTGAAGTTTAAAATTGTTTTTTTTTTTTTTTTTTTTTTTGCATAATCGGTGGTGTTTCATGGACATGACACGTGTCCTTCCTTTAGACACAGATGAAGCTTTGTGTAGAAGACACGAATTTTTTATATTTCCTTACACATTAATAGAAGTTACTGCTTAAATATTAGTACTATAAAAGTACATGGGACAACAGTAGCAAAAAGCGTATGAGAAGTCTGAAAAGATGAACAAATTAGAACTAATAATCAAATTAAGATGGTGCATATAATCCTGAAAATGCAATCTCTCTTTGTTTACAGTCCGAGCACGTGGCGATTGTGTTCGAATTTTCTTTGTTATTCTTTGAATAATTTACCTTCTCAGTCACAATCCAATCCTTTTCCTGTGGTTGAGGTATTAATCCTCTTAAATGTATTTATTTTACTATATGAAACTTTCGTTCGATGCTAGGTGTGGCTAGCGGTTTCCGTAGACCGATGCGCCTAGCAACAAACCATCATAGCGATGTTGCCATATCTCGGCTCGAAAAGTGATATTACACTTTAGATAAGGAATAACTCGTAAAATGGTGGTGGCTATTTGTGAACAGAAGACAGTTAAACATGATAAGACTACAACAATATATAGATCAATGAAAGCATCATTTGGTATACGTCATCTGATATTGATTTAAGCAGAAGTTGATTCGCACGTAGATTTGTGAGAACACTGTCTGTGAGAAAAAATTCTACTCGTAATTATTCAAATGAAGGTTGTCGTGTGAAAGGTTTCGCACACATAATGTAAACTTATAAACCTAGTTATCTTGCTGGTATCTCTTCCAAGTAATGACAAGTTTTATGTGGTGTACTCATATAAGACACAGAACGTTAAATAACGAAATTTTATGTTGGACCTGCGTCACTCTGACTCGAAAGCTGCTGTTGGAGAAGTAAATTCGGAAACAAAACGTCAATTTCCTCGACAAAGGAAATAAAATAAAAAGTTTTGGTTAGTAAGAAAATATTGATAATCTATGAAGATGTAAAAGTGTACGTTCAAACCGAATCTCTCGCATTCCGGTAAGCATGCACAGCGGTGTCTATGTTGCCACTTTGCTTGCATTCAGCTTGCCAAGCCCCGGCAGGAACAGCAGGCGCTAGTCTCATGTTAGGCGTTATTGGCTGAATACTGCAGGTGGCTTGGAAAACAAAAGTTTGATTTCTCGTTACGATTAATACTCTAAGATGTGTGAAACAATTCTGGAGAAAAACCTTA